AGGAGTTGGAGACCTCAGGTCTCTGAATTTATCAAGAGAAGAGTCTGGCAACTTTAACTCCTGCTTGTCACCCAGAACTAACAGCCGAGTAAGCAGAGGAATGCTACCCCCTTGATGGAGGTTTGGCACTCCCTTTCCAAACTTTGTGGTCAGTACTCCACTCAGGGGGATCCAAGTGCCAGCCAAGAGTTGGGACTTAAGACCTTTCCATTCTTTAAAGTCTTTTTGAGTCCCATCTCCACCTAATAGTCTTTTTATTTTGATTCACTTATATTTTTGTCTTCTCTGACCTTGGAAAGTGGAGTTTGAGTACACTGTGCATTTAATTATATTTTCCATTTCTTTTTGAGTTGCTTATAGCATTTAGCATAATGCTGGGCCTATGACAGAGGTTTAATAAATATTTGAAGGGGTCCAGTTTGTGCTAGATTTTCCTTCTTTTTTTGAACCAGTGGTATGATTTTTATTCTAGACTTTCCGCTAAGTCTGGTCCTCTCAGCTCTCCATCATCTTCTCTGTCTTCAAACAGGGAGAGGAAGTCCTGGAATCAGAAACTTGGATTTGTGTTCCATCTTTGCTTTTTTACCAGCTGTGTGATCTTGAGCAAGTGAGTCAATCTGGTTGGGTCTTAGGCTCATGATTTGTAAGGTGAGATGGTTGTACTAAGTGCTGTCTCAGATTTGTTTTAGGTTTAACACTCTAAATCTATGTATGCTGTCTAATAGGGTAGCCACTAGCTCCATGTGGCTATTGACCACTTTATATGTGGCCAACCCAATTTGACATGTTCTATAAGTGTAAAAACACACCAGATTTCAAGACAAGAATGTAAATAGTCTCAGTAATTTTTTGATGACATGTAGAAGTAATAATATTTTGGATATATTGCATTAAACAAAAAATTATTAAAAAATTAGTTTCACATGTTTCTTTTTACCTTTTTATGTGGCTACTAGAAAAGGTAAAATCACATATTTGGTGCTTAGACTGAATTGTGTTTCAACAATCCCTTCCCTCACTGCCATCCATATGTTGAAGGCTTAACCCTGAAATGTGATGGTATTTGGAGATGGAGTCTTTGAAAGACCACTGGGTTTGGATGAGGTCCTGAGAGTGGGGCCCTAATGATGGGATTAGTGCCTTTATAAGAAGAGACACCAGAGAGCTTGCTCTCCCTCTCCCCGCCGTGTGAGGACACAGTGAAGCTATCTGCAAAACAGGAAGAGGGTTCTCATCAGAACCTGACCATGCTGGCATCCTAATCTCAGATATTTAGCCCTGAAAACTGTGAGAAAATAAATTCTTGTTGTTTGAGCCACCCAGTCTATGATATTTTGTTATGGCAGCTATAGCTGACCAAGACATGTGGTTTGTATTATATTTCTATTGGACAGCACTGGTCCAGATGTCTGGTAACTCCTACATACCACACTTTCAACATCATGTCTGTGAGAGCACGGATGGCCTCCTGAACATTCCTTGGGGTGCTCAGTGTTTTACTCCAGTAGTCATTCAATAAGCATCGGGTGATTAAATCATCTTCTTAGTTATAAGCAACACAGTCTTTGGCTCATTTATGCAGAAGAGGGACTCATTAAAAACATATTAGGTAGCAATCAGAATATCTGCAGGGCAAAAGAACCAGGCTTGGAAAGTATACTCAGGCAGACTGCATTGCCCAAGTCCCACTACAGACTGGTCTGGGGGTGATGCCACTGCTGCCCCCAAAACTAGAGCTGGCTGCTGCTGCCCCGCTGGTGGAGTGGAGTGGCTGTGTGTCTTCAGGCTCGCTTGCTTTCACCTCAGGGTTTGATTGGCTGAGTTTAAACCAGGAACTGTAGCTGCAAGGGAGGCTTCTGAAGTGGAAAGTGGGCTCCTCTCATGAGAGGGAGATTCATTCTTCTAACATAGGCAGGTGTCTTCAGGTGACAAACTGCCTAAAAGAATGACCAGAACCTTTGCTAGAGTAACCTGAGACCCTGACAGTTTGACTGCGACACAAACAGAAGTTTCTGCTGAAACTCCCCAGGCAGGGACTTCCTCCACACTGGAGGCTCCCCAAATCTCCTCATGGTTCTTCTGAAAAATATGTTTTGCATATTTTATACATATGTTATGCTTTGCATAACAGACAGTTGATGTTATCCATTACTTTAATACTGTGATTATAATTTCGTGATGTCCTTTGGAAGTTCTCACATGATGTTTTAATATAAAGACACAGGAGGGCACTCTAACCAACCAGCAATAAAATGTAAAAAAGATGGGTGTTGATCTTGTTGAATCTACGTTTTTTTCAGGTAGGATAACCAACTTTGTAGGAGTACCTAAGCTCTCCTAGGGGATCTCACTTGTGACAGAGGTCCCCAAGACACACTCTCCACACTGTCCAGGTAAGGTTCTAGGGACTGTGATTTGAGTAACTCAGAACAGAGAGGTTTTTTTTGTTTGTTTGTTTGTTTTTGTTTTTTGGTTGCATTGGGTCTTCATTGCTGCACACCAGCTTTCTGCAGGGAGCAGGGACTACTCTTCCTTGAAGTGTGCGGGCTTCTCATTGTGGTGGCTTCTCTTGTTGTGCAGCATGAGCTCTAGGCCCGCGGGCTCAGTACTTGTGGCTTGCAGGCTCTAGAGCGCAGGCTCAATAGCTGTAGCACGCAGGACTTAGTTGCTCCGGGAATTGTGGGATCTTCTGGGGCCGGGCTCCAACCCATGGCCCCTGCATTAACCACTGTGCTACCAGGGAAGTCCCCAGATAAGGAGATTTTTGACTCACAGGTTATCTACTGACTGGACCACTGAAGAGATGGAGACATGGCTCCCAAAGGCTCATATTTAGAGGTCAACTGGCTAAATCAGACTGAGAGCAGAAGAGAGAGATCTGGTTGTCAGACTTGCTTCAGACCGACAGCCTGTTCCTGAGACTCAGTTTTCCCATCTGTAAAATGGAGACGATACCTGACTTATGTCTGTATAGTTTGCCAGTGGAGAAGGAGAGCGGTAAGAGGAGGGAAAAAAACATATCCAGGGGTGCCATTTACCATCCCATAAAATACATTGAGTTTTACACTGAAAAAATAAAGCCGGCCTGCCTCTTGTTAATGAATTATAGCACACAGGAGGGACAAAGCGTGCTTTGCTGGGCAGCTGGAGTAACAAAAGTAACGAGGATAGGTTGGAACAGGACCTGCTCCTCCAGACTGGTTTCCCCACACAGATCTTCCCGGAGGGGCCCCCCGACACCAGGGAGGAAGGGGCGCGGGGCTGCTCGGGCCGTTTTCCTCCCCAGGCAGGAGCGGGACCGGTTCTGGCGACGGCGGGGTTACGCCCAGTCAAAGGTGTAGTCTGGGAGAGCCAGTTCTGGCTGGAAGGAGGCGGGATGGCGGTGCTCGGCCCCGCCGTGGCGCTTTGTATCTCTCCCACCTCCCCGGCGTTCCTGAGGGCTGTTGAGGCGCAGCCGCTCCCTAGCTGTCCCGGCCGCTGCCGGCCTAGCGCCCCGGGCTCCCCGCCAAGGTCGGGGCGCTCGCCGCCCTCGGTCCCGGGGTCCCCCGGGCGGAGATGGAGCCGGCACCCGTGGGAGGAGCAGGGACACGCGCAATAAAGGGAAGGAGAGAAGGAGAAAATGAGGGAGTGGAAGAAGCGGCCTAGCTCCCCTCAATAAGTAGTTGCGCGCGTCAGCCGACTCTCGGCGCTGGTTACGCGCCCGAGATCCCCAAGCTTGGCTTACTGTTTCCTTTGGGGAGTGTCGCCTGGCATCCCTCTAGTCCTCCACCCGCAGGTGTGAGAGTGCCTACCACGTGGCAGGCGCCGCACTGAGCGCTGTACTATAGTAGGTTTTAAAATTTCCCCAACATCCCTAAGCGACAGGAACTGTTACCGCCCGCGTACTGGGGACGAAGGAAAGGCCTTGGAGAAGTTGGGTGGCTTGCCGCGAGTTTTGCAGCTAGTGGCTGAGCGAGGACTCCGAGAGGGGTCTGAGCGATCCTGATGCCCAGGCCACAGCCCGCAGCCCCTCCGCTCTGCCGGGTTATTGTCTGATCACGCCGTCTGCACCTGTCGCGGGCCTCGCTAGGCAGGAGCGCAGGAGGAAAGGGAGAAAAGAAGGACCACAAGGTGACCAGGTGGCTTTCCTCCATCCGTACCCTTGGCCCAGGGCAAGGAGAGATCATTTCGGGCGCGGGGATGGCTTTGCGCCTTGGAGAGGACAACCTTCCTTCTCCAAAGATCGCAAGCGCGGCGGGAGCAGGGCTTTGGGGCAATGACCCTCCTGGGACTGCAGGGGCGAGCGGAGAATCTAGGGTCCGGGAGTGGACACTAGGAAAAAGTGGGGTGGCGAGAGCGCGGCTGCCCGCGAAGCTGACTGGGGAGGAGACAAGGCGGCGCGTGCAGAGTGTCCACGCGGTGGGTGTGCGGCGCTTTCATTCAAACTTTGGGGAGTCTTTGGTTCGGGCGTCAGAGAAGGTGTGACCAATCAGAGTCCGGGGACGGGAATAAATTATGCAAATCACCATCTGGCGATGGGTCAGATGACTCCAGTAGTTTAAAAAACTACCTCGCCGGGGAGCTCGCGGCGTGACAGTGGCGAGCCCTGGCTTCCCGGGCGAACGGCACGGGTGAGGGCAGACCTGGTTCTGGTTGGAGCATCTTCGCACTCCCCTCACCACCCCGTGGCTCAGTTTAGCCAAGTTTTCATTTTCCGCCTTCTCCACCTGCAGCTGTCTAAGGCCACCACTCTCTCTGGTCGAGAGAAGCCTTCCCACTTCGGGTCTTACGGGCTCGGACTGCTGGAAACATCGAGAGGCGGCTCTTTTTTTTTTTTTTTTTTTTTTCTGCTTTGGGTCTTCATTGCTGCACGGGGGCTTTCTCTAGTTGCAGCGCTTCATTGTGGTGCATGGGCTTCTCATTGCGGAGCACAGGCTCTAGGCTCGTGGCCTTCAGTAGTTGTGGCTTTCTG